AAATAAAGCTCATGATGTTGGACCTTACATTCGACACATCAGTACTGCTTCTAACACAAGTAAAAACTCCCTATCAAACGGCTTTAGTTTGCCTGATTTATGAAGTAATCTCTACATAAAAGTTGATGAAAATCGTCGAAAAATGCTCCAACTAATTTTAATCATTTGCCTTGAAATTTTGTTCAGTGAATTGTCCTGATATGAACAACTTTTTTTTTTGAAAACCTCAGGATCGTAGCCATTGATGAAGGAGAGATCCATGCTGAGATCGTCCCAAACAATGATGGCTTCTCGGTACCTCAAGATTACAGGCATTCAAATAGTAGCAAACCCGAAAGGTATCAAAAAAGTCTTTGAGTTGCTCTAGAAAAAAAAAAAGTGTTTTCATCGTAAATCTTTTGCATTCAGCCTATTGACCTCAGGTTGCTGCTTGCGATCAGGGTTTACTGAACTTTGTTTGTACATAACTTTTTCTGAGATTTGACTTCCCTTGAGGGAGGAACGGCGGAAGCTTCTTCACGCTACCTTTCTTGGTCACAACCTTTTATTAAAGTCAAAAAATATGGAATAGCTGTCTATTGGAAAAAAAATGTTTGTAAACAAAGTTTCTTTCGGAGCCGGGTCATAAAAAAGTGGCCTGATTTCGAGGTCTGATTCGAACCCATAGGTCATTTCTACAGCAGTGCGACAGTTTCTTTTAATTTTTATCATCGTAATAGATATTAACAGGAAAACTCAACATAAGATTGTTGACGTAATTTCTTTTTGTTTAAAAGTAAATTTCATGATTATAAAAATAATTCGAGTCGGAATAATTGCTCTATTCTTGAGATAAGAAGAAAGCTATCATTTCGACTCGAACTATCTTTATGATCATAAGACATACTTATAGACAAAAATACTTTGTTTAATCTTCCTGACCAATTATCCTGTCTTTTAGTAAAGATCTATCGTAACTCTGTAGAGAAGATTTATGTTCCCGAATTCTTTTATAGAGACTCTGTATGATGTCAAATATAAGATCTTTTGAATTATGTTTATCAGTAATCTACACTGATAACAATAATTGAACATATGAGATCTCTTATTTTGCTTTTGTTTAATTCAATTATCAATCATTTGTAAAAATAAATGAATATCTATGTGTATATAATCAAAGAAAATTTTTCTAATTAAATTATCATTGAATAAAATAATATTTATTTTTTTTTCTAGAATCAAAATGATGTAAATGACCTATCACAAAATCTTTCTCTTCTTCAATATGTTGGTTCAAAACTACCTAATGCTCATTTAAATCGACAAGTTACAAATAATACAACATCAGCTCAAGCACTTCAACAATATATTAGCAGTCAACAACATCAATTACAACCAAAATATGAAGTTCGTGCCACACGAAATGTACATATATTTGATGAAAAACTTGGCAATGTTTGTTTAATAATAAAAACAAAACGAAAAATTTCATCTTTTTTTATCTTTAATATCTTTTTATTTTTCATATAGATTATTCCATCTCAAAATGGATCACGGAATGGTCGTTATCAGCAAACAATGCGTTCACCAGATCAACAAAATCGTTTTTATATTCAAACAAATGTTATGCCACAAATTGCAGCTAATATGTTACCTAATACAAATATTCCTGCAACAAATTCATCAATTGATTTTTCAATACGAACTAAAAGTGCAACTGGACTGACACGACAACGTACAGGTCTGTTAGGTTAAAATGGACCAACAACACATACTTATCTTCACCTTTACACCTTTTTCTCCTTCTTCTTATTTTTTATTTATTACACACACATAAATCAAAATCAATTCTACAAAACCGGTAAGTTAAGTCAATTATATACTTACGAGAGAACTGTCGGAAGTGATATTATCTATCACCCTTCATGTACATAAACAAGTAAAGGATCAAGGTTTTAGCAATTTATTCACCACTCTTCGGAGAAAAAAAACTCAGCATACAGTTATATCTTGTTGCAATATTTCTCATCCGGAGAGCAACGAATTCACAAAAACGTGTAACCGAACCTGACCAAAAATAAAAGGTTGAACCTGGACTCGAAAAAAAAACAAAATTATGGAGCCGGACGTGGCAAAGAAATAAAACTTTGGATCCGGGCTCGAACCCGGACAGCTCCAGTTTTGGAAGGATCCACAGATCGCTAGGAACAAGACGGAGATCTAGGATTTTCAGCATTCAACAGAGGACAGAGATAAGCGTCTGGGAATCTCGATTTTCATTGGTCCAAGAATTGACCAATCAGATGAATTTCTCAATACAAGTTTTGAGGATGAAATTCTAAAGAAATTTTCCATAATATTCTGTTTTGTAATACCACCATGCTGTACAGAAAATTATTCTCTTTCTATCTATGCAAGGCCGACATTCCTAGCGTGTTCCGTTCAGGAAAAATGAGGATTTTCCAGAAATCCTAGTTTTTGTATAGTTCGCCACTGATCACTCCAAAATATGTCTGGAAAGGAGCAATCGATTATGCTGAATCCAGTGGTGACATTTGTTTTTCGTTTCAAAGCGATTCGACATTCCTGTGGCAAGTTTTTTAAAACTTCATATTTTCCCACTACAGTATCGAAACAATCAATGTTTTGAAAATCCCGTATATAGATGTTGGATTGCTTTGAAACGAAGAACAAATGTCACCATTGGACTCAGCATGGCTGATTACTCATTTTAGACATATTTTTAAGTGATCAGAGACGAACTGTACAGAAGAACAGGGTTTCTGGAAAACACTCATCTTTTCTGAATGGAGTATGCTAGGAATGCGGGCCTTGCATAGATAGAAAAAGAATAATTTTCTGTATAGTATGGGAGTGTTACAAAACAAAGTGTGATGGAAATTTTCTTTGGAGCTTCGTCTTCAAAACTTGCATTGAGCAATTCTTCAGATCTCTGTCTTGTTCCTATCGAAAGTTATTCAAAAAATATCCGAGTGCATTGACTTCTGGCGCCGATAGTAGTTAGTTTAGATTCTCTTTATATGCCCTTAGAAGTAGTGAATCATTTCAAATAGTTCCCTTGTTAGTTCGTAAAAAGAAAAATCTAAAACTTCTCAATAGATATAAATCAATAGAAACAAATTATAATCTTCTCATGCTTTCCATTCAAAGTAGCACGGTGTGGAATGATACACCAAAATACAAAGGATATGATTTTCTTGCTAAAAATAATGAGCTTATTTGTTTCTTTTTTGAACTGCCATTTTATTTACATTAGAAATTATCATTATTATTTTCTATAGGCGGTTTCTATTTGGTCTCAAATGATTCTCATGTTATTAATGATTGTCTTTCAAAAACCGACATAACTATAAATGGTTCATCAATGTCAGTTGGTAATCGATTTAAATCACTTTATGATCTTCCAACATTTGAACCAATTCGACGATTTAGTTTACGTGAAACTTGAAAACCAAATGAAACTATTATTCTATTATCAATATCAAAATGAGATCGAAAAAGAAGTTTTTTTTTTTAATGTTTGGTTGTTTTTTGCAAGAGTGTGCTACACCCGGTTTTGATGCTTTGTTTGTTTTTGATTTATATTTATTCTCACATATTTATGTTTAAGCGTGCCTTGTAGATAGATGACGGTTTGCTTTTTTCCTATGTTCGTATACGCAGGTTTTCTTTTGTGAATGTGTATGTGTGTGTGTGTGTATATGCAAAATGACATCTGCTTTTTCGAGTATTTAAATTATTTGAAGGATATTTTTGTTATCAAATTGTAAGAAAAATACACATACGTTCAACGAATAATTATTTACGAATAAACAAATATTTTTTTAAAAGCTTCTAGTCATAGTCTTAAGAATTTATTTACCTTTATGGGACATCATTAAAGAAGAAAGTATCGTCTCAAAAAAAAAATAATTCTATCTAATCGGTAAACAGTGCAATCAGCTAAAGTCATTTTTTACATTATAATGCTTAATTCAATTATTTCGCCGCATATCAATAAATACATATTACACTTCTGTTCTAATCTTTTCATAGTTACAACAGAAGATAGAATATTCATATATGTAAAAAATTAAGAATTTAATACTTCGACGAATCTTTTGTTAAAATAATCTATTACGTTGAAAAACCAAGCAGAAAAATATCAAAATGCGAAGAAGGGTACTCAGATATTCTTACCATTGTCGGAAGTTTTCCTTGCCGAAACGACGTCTTTTCGGGTGGATACCTACTGGAAATCATTACTGTGAATAGATGTGCCCGTATATTGCTTCTAGATACTCAATAATTTCAATCATCATGGAAAAATAATCCAAAATAAACTTCTAGATGGGTAAAAGTTTTCGAATACAGCATGTGAACTGAATCCAACATTTGTCTACAGTTCGGCAGGTTCATTCTAGGGGTCAGTAGCGTAACCATCAGGAGGATAGGGGACTAAGTCCCTTCCTCGTCAATCAAAGTCATGTCAGGAAAATTCTACCACAAGCTCAGCTACCAGACAGAATCCGGTTATATGAGTCTCTTTCACAAGGGCCTGTCGGGTTCAGATCTGACATTTTTCTGTTAACCGGACAGGGTACGAAAATTTTGGAACTGATGGGCTCAACTCCAACTGTCTAAATTCTTATTTCGCCACTATTAGAGATCCGAATCTAAAGCAACACTCAATACACAAAGTAAACTTAACTGAACTTTGTTTTTCTATTTGTTTTATTTATTTGGAAAAACAAAACAAAACACTCCTTTAATAGCAAATCTGAATACGGCAGCAAATACGAATCCAAAAATATTTGATAAATTAACGCCAGATCTTGATCTGATTATGAATAACATTGCATTGACTAGACTTATGTCTAAAAAAGATCCAGATCCAATGAACTTCACATCTATTATTTCCTAAGAATTCTCTGTAATCTTACAGAATTTTCGAAAAATCTATATTGATCTATCATCAATTGCAAACAGAAAAAAAACATTTTAATCAATTTAGATCTTTATTATTTTTTTCTTCTTTTCTTTCTATTATCTGACAATGAATGTTTTCTTTTATTTGTCTTATTCATACATTGATTTGGTAAATGACATACATTGCATGTATTACAATGTATTCTTTCAGCTTTAACACATCGTTGACATAATAAACAATGTTTATAAGGTAAACCATCTTTTGATGTACATGATTGACATTGAAAACAATGTTGATTTGTTAATAATGTATAACGATTACATTCGAAACAATATTTATAATTTATATCATCTAATGGTGGAAATTTTGATGGACATATATCAGTAAACATACGAACAGGTGAACCTTTTTTTCCACGACATAAATTTAATGATGATATTGATGTATATTCAATTTTATAATCAAGCATTTTTAAATTTGGAAATGCATCAATAATCCATTTTTCAAGAAAATATGGATTAAAAAGTATTAAATTTCGATTAATTTCATATGATTGAAATAATTTATCAATTGAATATGATAATGCACGATGAAAACCACCAAATGGTGGATCAATAATAATTAAACAATTTTTAATTATTGAAAGAAATTTTTCTTGAAAATATTTTTTATTTGAAAATATATGTCCATTAAACATATTATAAATAAGCATTTGTTTAGAAGAATAAAATGAACAAAAACGAATATCATAATCAAGTAAATATGAATGAAATTTTTTTTTCAAATTAAAACATTGAAGATTTTCAAAAATTGTTGGACAACCAATACAAATAATACTATCCCAAGAAGTTTTTAATATAATTTCATTAATAAGATAATCAATAAATGTTTGTGAAAAGAAAAATTGTGCATTACTACGTTTATTTTCAAGTGGTTGAAGAATGTATTGACATGGTTGTCGTAATTGTTGACGATTAAGAGATTCAGTATATTTATGATCAATATGATCAGATTGTTCATTTTCAGAAAATAATGTCGAACAAGTATAACAATAATGACTAAAGAAATAAAAGAAAAATTTTTCATGATTAAGAAATATTGTAGCTTTTTCTTGATTCGGTCAAGATTCTATCAGATGCAAAAAAAAACAAAATAAATGTGAACGTATCTTTTAAAATTTTAGTAGAATTATTCTAAATTTTGGCAAAATATCATTTTAAAAAGTCAATGAAACTAAATCATAGTTATTAATACGGATGTACAGTTCTAGTTTACTGGTCATCGACTCACGAGGAATAGTTTTCAACCAACCAATCACTTTTTCATTGAAATCGACTATGTTGTTTCTGAATATGACTATGAGAAATTCTCTTAGGTCTTTATATGCTAGTCTTCGAAAAAAATCGATTTTCTAGAAAACTATCATCTAACGGCAAATTCTTTTGTTGATATTCGAGATCATCATGATTCATAACCTATAATTCACACGTTTTCTCGTTAGTGTTGTTGATGCACACTGACTACAGAGTAGGAAGCTATGGGTCTACATTTTTGTGGGCTCGGACCCGATCGGGTCCAAACCTGAGTTTTTTTTCATCAATATCTGGCATCATTCGTGTACATGAACAAGTAAAAGATCAATATTTTAGTTATTTATTCGTTACTCTCCGACGTACAGATATATCTTGTTGCTGTATGTCTCATAGGAAGGAGCAGCGGGTATACAAAAACATGTAACTGGGCCCGGACCCGCAACTCTCTACTACAGGAGCACCAGTAGAACGGAAATGTCAGCGTCATAGTCGACCCTGTGTTGATGACTCACTGTATCTATTCGGCGAATTCCGATCTTAAATTTTGTTCATAAGTACTTTTAATATCTTATTTGGAAAATTTCAGTCAACATAAATATTTCGTTCTAAAAGTATTGCATTTTTAAATTCTACATATATTTCATCAGACTCATCTTTGATATTTATCACATAATCGTCTACTTAAGTAAAACAAGTCTATCAAATCTATATCTTACATATCTCGTTGTTTATTAAATTTTTTTCTATTTTTTTGTACTATTTGAATATATTCTTTAAATTTTTCATATTCTTTTTCATGTTGTTCAATAATTTTTTTTGATTTTTTTTCATGTCTTTTTTCATATGGAATAAATATATCACATTCTTGACGATCTCGACAAGCTGAACAAGCAAAAAATTTTGATGTTGATGAATGAAATAATAATGTTGGACCATGTATACATTTTGGATGATTTATTTCAATATTTTCAGAAAAATCAATTTCAATCGAATGTTTAGTCATTTCATCTAAAAACAAAAAAAGTAACTTAAAAAATTTAAAAAAGTACAATTAAAAAAATATATAAAGTTCATTCTCATTTAAACACGACATTCAAGTTGTACAAAAGCACCATGTTCTGAACGAAGAATAATTTCAAATGAAAGATTTAAATCATTAAATGTTTGAGATGTTTTTAATTTAAATCGTCTTAATATCCATGATAACATAGATTTTTCTTCTAACATAGCAAATCGTTGTCCAATACAATTTCTTGAACCAGCTGAAAATGGTACAAAAGCAAATGGTGATCGATTATGACTATTTTCTGGTAAAAAACGATCTGGATCAAAACGATCAGGATCAGGAAAATGTTTTGGATCACGATGAACATAATAAATAAATATAACAGCTGTTGAACCTTTTAAAAGTTTATAACCATCTAAAGAAAGAAAGAAAAAACAAGCTGTTAGTGCAATCCCGGTGGGATTAAATATTTATCTTTTACATTTAATCCTACAGAAATGCAATAAGGAAGAAAATCATATATTACAATGAGATTTTATTGGTATGCTGTCTTTAATTGGGAGTCGGACAATTGCTCACGAATGTGAGTGTTAGGGAAGTGACTGTTGGAGGTAGAGCCCGACCAGATCTGAAATTTTCCTGTTAACCAGGTTCCGGTCGAAAAAGTTTTGGACTGAATAGGTACCCTAGTGACCAAATACAACAAAAAACCAGAAAAAGGTATTGCTCGTACTTTCTGGGTGACTATCCAATTTCGGTTAAAAAATTTCATTGAGAATATCAAAATACGATTTGATCGAATCTCAAAAAGTTTGATCAACTGGTTCCGTGTCTGGATCCAGAAATTCTCGGACCCGATGGGCTCTATCCACAAAAGATTAATCTATTATATTCAAATCCAACAATTTTGATCAGTCTGGTCTGGGTCCAAATTTTCTTGAATCCAATGGGCTCTAGTCAGACGTTTGGGCACTGGTATAGGTCTTCTCATTATTCACACCCACACCCATGTGAGCGAATAATTATCCTAAATCTCTGTAATTATATATCAGCGGGGTCTCTCGTGATTTGTGATAGTATCTGTCACGACCTGTAAGAGGATGCAAATTTCATTTCAATACTTATGTTTCACAAAAATATTGAAATAAACTCACGATACATAAAATCTTCTTGTATTTCACGTGCAATAAATGGAACTGATGGATAAAGTCGAAGTGTTTCTTTAATAACACATTCTAAATATTCTAATTCATTTAAATCTTCCATTGTACATGGACGATCACGATCATTTCCTAAAATGTTAATTTCAAAAAAGAAAATTCAATCTAATAGTCTTTGAATATTTTACCAAAAACTCTATCAATTTCTTCATGTAATTTTTTTTGTACTTCTGGATGTGATGCAATCATAAAACAAGTAAAATTAATTGCTGCTGCAGTTGTATCATGTCCCTTAAATATTCGAAAGAATTAACAAAATAATAAAACATTGATAATTTATTTTATTTTATACTTCAAACATAAATGTATCGACTTCTTCTTGAATATCCAGAAGTGTTAATTGTTCATCATTCATTTGTTTAAGAAGTAAATCTAAATAACAAAATATCGGATTTTATCGAAATAATAAATATTAGAATTAACAAAAAAACAATTACCAAGAAATGCATAACGTTTTCCACGATTTTCATCAGCACGAAATGCTTGAGCACGATCATCAATAACTTTTTTTGTAAATTGATGAATTATATTTAAATTTCGATCATGATCTCGTCCTTCTGGTAATAATTTAAATAATAAATCAGGCCATAGCCATGGCATACGTTGACGTTTTAGTATTATATCTGTTAATCTAAAATAAAAGAAAAATAATTCTGTTTTCTATTTTCAAGAATTTAATTTACTTTAAAACAGCGTCAACATATTGTGAATTTTTTTTTTGTTGAGCACCAATATTTAAACCCATTGCAGCTTCTAAATTATTTTTAGAATAAATTTTTACAAAAGAACAAAAAACTATTCAAAAAAAAACATCAACTAACCACAGATAATATCCAAAGCACATGATGCAATATATGAATATAAATTAACTTCTTTTCCTGATTCAATTGAACTTAAACGTTGAACTAAAATAGTTGATTGTTCATTATAAATATCAACATAATTATTGAGTAATTCTTTATCATGAAAGGCAGGTGTTATAATACGTCGACGATTTTTCCATTTTGCTCCATTACTAAAATTAATATGCTATTTTTCATCATGGATTACAATTAAAAAAAGTCAGCTTAGACACTCATATGAAATTATCGAAAGAATTACACTTGTTTCTTTGTTTGGGATGTATACTACGAAGGAAATCTTCCAACTCATTAACTGTCCGTTAGTAGAGACTATGAACATTATCTATGGCTGGATGAGCTATAAATATCCTGAAAAGAATATGATACTGCATTTTTACATTATTTTTTTAAATGAAAGCTGCGAACCTTCTCAGGAACACAGAAAAAACTGCTTTTTTGAATTTCGACCTGTAACATTGTACAGAGACACGCCTTAATGAACATAGTTTATTATGAAAGTTTCAAGTTTTTTGGTTTACTCCTCTCTTGAAATAAGAACATCGAATCTACCAGCGTATATAAGCAATGTTTAAGGGCATACCTTTATCATAGATACATCATACGATAGGTATCAGAGATCGGATCGGTTCAGGTTTTTCAAAATTTAAACCGAAGTTGGTTTGGGATACTGCGAACAGAACCGATTTCATCTCTGATAGGTGTAACAAAAAGACATGAAATTTACATAGTAAGCTACTTTCATTAAAAGTTTATCTTTTTGCAAATATATTGTCAAGATGATCTCAGAAGTTATTTTTAGAATAGTAATTCAATTTATTCTTATATTTTGTTGATAACTATCTAAGAAATATAATCTCGATTTTAACTAACCTTGTTAATAAACCTGTTCTAAGCCATGGATAAAGATATGCATAATCCGATGATTTTGTTATATGCCTTGAGCCACTAAGAAAATGCTAGAATAAAGAAAATATAGGATAAATCATAAATAGTACCAAGATAAAAAATGAATTATCTCCACGACGGATCAATCAAATAGGTTGCTGACTTTTTTTTTTGGTTAATGATTGAAATTTATTCAAAGGTTGCTTTTTTTCGTACAGATCAGATATTATTGTTAGTTATCATGAAAATAATTTTACCTGTTATCAGGTAAGAAAAATACATGTATAGAGTTTTGATAGATAATTTTCAGTTGTCATCTAAGAGAATAATAAGAAGAAGACCAAATGAAATATATTGATGCATACAAAAGCAAATTTTCAAATGTGGAACACTAATTTTTTGCGAGAAAGTTGCTGCCCAATGGACAATAATAATATGTTTTACTTATGGGACACGAATTTCACCATCTAAACTGACTATTATCTCTGTGTGCAGCATTAATATAGTTCATTTTGACTTATTATTATTCTCTTTGATGACAACTGAAAATTACCTATGGAACGCTTCACATATATTTTCCTTATTTGTCAATAGTATTTGTTTCCGTTGTTCATATGAAAAAAAAACACTTCAAATAAGTTTCTATCACCAAGCAAAAACTCAGCCCATTCGAACGAATCGAAGTGAAAATATTTCAATTGTTTCATCGTAGTGTTATTTATAATCTACTCTATATAAGTTGAATCATAGTATTTTCGATAATTTCAATCAGTATTCTGTGTATTTATCAAACTTTAGATATTTTTATTTTTATACAAGCTACTGATTACTGTAATGAAATGTTCAATTTTTATTTGATTTATTTGACAATCTTGACTGAAGATTTGCTAAAAAAATGTAGACATGTACAAAATATTGTATGAAAGTAATGGCTTCGAATGTTAATTATCGATAATTCTTTTTAAAAAAAATGATTTCTATGATTCAGTACACAAAGCTTTTATCGAAAAGATATTCACGGTTTACTTAAATCAGATTTGCTTTTGCTAATATAGTCAGAAAAATTACGTTTCAGTCAATCTATTAATATGAAAATCGTAAAGTAGACATACTATCATCATTTTAATAATCTCAACACAAACTACGCACTTTTGATATGTATGTCAAATAAGGATAGAATTAATAAATATTTCTATGCTAATCAATCTTTACTCTCCTAATAATCGAAAAATTGATTTCAAATTTGTAAAGAAGCAAAATCTTTTTTTATTTTCGAAATCTTCGTCATGATGTCAAATAAATTGAAATGAAAATTATTTTGTTCGATTAAATAATCAATGTTCTCTCTAAACATATGAAAATAAATAGCGTTCGAAATTCAAATCAAGCAAAATTGTTAACAATAACATAATCAATCTGTAATATTGTATTTCCCAAATATAAAAAAAAAATAAATAAACAAACCTCAAGTCCAACTGGATGAAAAAAAGCAATTAAAGGATATGTACCAAGCCATAAACAATACAATGTTGTAGTTTTACTTTCTTCATACAACAAATCAAGTTTTTGAGAGAATTCTACAAAACAAAAATAAAATTTTTTCATAAGAATTTATTACTTACGATAGGGATCTAATGGTAAATTAAATAGATTTCCAAATAAAGGTAATCTATTTCGAGGGCATGGTATAGATCCATAAGTTTTTAATAGTTTAATGTATTGAATAAACCATGTTTTTAATCGAAAGATTATAAGAATAATAAGAATAATAATTAATACTGTAAAAGAAAGCAATGCCATTTTTACGTTCTATAATACAATTAATGTTTTTTTTTCGGATTTTATTTTCAAAAATAGAACAAAAAAAAAGCATTTCAACTGAGCCATGTTTAACAAGCAAAAAAAGAACAAAAATACGAATACGAGTGAGAGACAAAACAAAAAGATAATAAGAGATAAGTTATCATTTTTTATTCTTTTATATTTTTATTACATATATCGAGCACGTTTTAACTTTTGAGAATCACCTATAGATAAATCTGTTGAATGAAAATCACGTTTACGTGCTAATTGATTAGCAACTTGTTGACGAACAAAACTTTCAAGTTGTTCAGAATGATCGTGTGAAGATGTATCAACATGATGTGTAGTTTCATTATCTAAAGAAAACAAAATTAAGTCCCTTAACAAGATTATTTAAAAAGAAATTCATGAAAAATTAAGTTTTTCCCATTTTAGGTTTATGCTTTTCAAGTTACTATGACTTTCACATTTTTCATCCTTTAGTGCATTATGTTAGCTGGGAAGCTAGAACACTAGCGTCCCCCTTATTTTGAAAGAGCAGTGGCAGGTGGTGCCCTTCCTACATGTGCAATATTATCCAAGATACAAATCACCAGTCGAGTAGCTAACGGTGAAAACAGAATACTAGCTTCTCTCTTGTTCTGAAAATGGTAGTGGAGCGTGCTGCTACTCTATCGGCACCGTGTATCCTTGATAACACAATGCACATAGTGAGGACGCCATCTGCCATTACTCATCCCAGACAAGAGAGGTACTACTGTTCTAGTTTTGCTTCTCCTTTAAGTTATTTAGTCCTCTAGGCTGTGGATGAGCGAGAATGGGCGTATTTCCTTCACTTCCATCCTATTTTTACAGCTTTAAGAATTATGTAAGCATAAAAGTAAAGCGGAATAAATTTGATCTGTTGTGAACTTATGTATTGAAAACAAAAAACAATTGTTACCATCCATAACAAGTGCTTGCCGAAATGTATGTAAATCATCAACAATAGGAAGTTGATTGATTGTACCGTTGTTTGTACTACCAATATCTGTTGGACAAGTAAGATGATATGGTGAACGATCAATTAAATAATCATAAATTTCTTCACAACGTATATGACGACGTTGTCTGCGACGTGTCCAACGTAAAACATCTTTAGTTTTAGTTAGTTCACCATTGAGAATACCGAGTTGAATTGCATCTTTTAAAGTATCGAGACTTTCTAGAAAAAAAAACAAAGGATTCTGTTGTACATAGTAATAGATGAAATCTCAATCACACGAAGATCTAGATAAATGAGATATTTTGTAGGACAGTAGTTGCGAATATGGGTTTACTCAGCATAACCACACTCACATCCTATTTGAACTGAAACTCAAGTCAGTGATTTTGGCATCCGGTTGAAAAACTCGAGAATATGGTAGGAACTTGTAAGCAAAAAAATCTGACCATTGGATCCGGACATCATATTCCGGAATCTTTTGCACGGAATCGATCGTACATCATTCATCTGGAAAAGTTAGACTACAATAGTTTTTGAGAAATAGTATACTCTTTGTTTGAGTCATATGTTTTCCTGAAAAGTGTTACTAGATGTTCGAAAATGTTTGTAATAATCCAACTGAAAACATAAAAATTGGCTCTGACTAGATCTTGGACGTAGAAATATCATATGCGGATTCGGTAGTCAACTTTTTCTGTTTCTAAAGAGAATCGAGTATAGTTGATCATCGGATATAGCTATCGTATTTTTGCGTTCAAGATTCGATTATGTTTCAATCGGAACTGGGGGCTAGAATCATTAACCTAGGCGTATCTGTTTTGCATTGACTTTGGCGCAAACAAATCATAAAAGCTTGATATTTTTGAGAATATACGTGAGAAAATTCTTCATAATAATTAACGAATACAATAGAAAAGTGTGTTTAAGTGGAGCCAGTACATGCAACTTTATTTTTACTGTTTATCAACACCTTGAAAAAACTGAGGTCCATCATTTTCATGCAATGTAAGACGACAAATCAAAATGATTCGTTTGAATTTCTATTTCATACAAGATGTAACGGTGTTATTGAGAATGTACATCTGGTACTAATTCTAGCTGTAATCATGACATTGAATAATGAAGTTTACACTAAGTTTCCATACTGTTATTGTAAAGAATTTGACGGCGCATATTTTCAAAACAAAATCAGGATTTTATTGTTTGCCTATATGAAAACATTAACCTCACCTTTTGCGCTTTTCATCGATATCTCTCAGTTTTTACATCGCTTAAAATCAAATACTTTTAAAATTGCTTAGAAATTCTATTGAGATCAATCTATTTCGTTTAACAAATATTGTCTCTTTTATTTCTAAAACTTCAAGATTGTTTTAGTAAACCATTGAGTGTGAAGGCAACTATAAGCTTCATAGTACTTTTTGATTCTAGAACGGGATATGTGTAGATTTGTAGAGGAAGACTGTTTCTACCTAATGGTGGCTGTATTACTAAGTTTTATTAAATACCGTTGCGATATCAAGAGAGGATGCCACCTTCTTCGTGAACACAATAGAATGCAGTAAAGGAGGCACCCATTGTTAATACCTCAATAGAACTTAATAGTACATAAACTACTCAATGAATTGAAAATAATGAAGAACACTTTATAATCGTACAGACATAGTCCTATGAGGTCTGCATTAGATAATACTATTATCCGTTTCAAAAAAAGAATGGACTCGATTGTTTGTTGAATAACTCGGCAACACTGATAGCCATCGAGCTCGGATTTTCGCCATTAGAAAGAGCATGAATGGAGGTACAAGTTTATCTGAGAATCAAAATACTTGAAAAGTTTCCTACGGGGCTCCAGAGATTTTTTTGAAAATTACTGTCCAAAAACTTCCCGGAACCGCGTAAAAAACTTTTCAAATATTTTGATTCTCAGATAGACTTGTATCCCCACTCATGCTCTTTCTAACGACGAAAACCCGAGTTCGATAGCTATCATTATTGCCAAGTTATTCAACAAACAACCAAGTTCATTCTTTTTTGAAATAGATAATAATTTCTCTTAACTTATGAAGATAAAGCAATACATGAAATATATTATGCAGGCTTTTACTTCCGAAAGGGAAATTAAAAATTTCTACTAAGCTAACTTGATCATCAAAGAAACGTCATTCTTCGACATGCGATAAAATACGAAATACTTGCTATAATTCTAATTTACCTTTATAAAGTACTGTAACAGATTCAGCTGCTGCATGAAATGTGTTCCAATTATTTGTTCCATTAGAACGTTCTTAAAAATTTCAATAATAAAAATAAAAATATTTTTTTTTTAATTTTACCACGAAACATTTTCGTAACATTTGTAGCTGCATTTTGGAATGCAATAAATAATTTTTGTGTATAGGAATCTTGTCCATTAATTAAATTTTCCTGAATCATTCTTTCACATTCATCTTCATATTTTGATAATGCTGTTTCTTCATTATCAATAGATGATGAAATTTCATTTTGATTATGATCAAAATTCGACATAGTTTCACAAAATTAATATAAATAATAATAATAAAAAAAAAAAAAAACTTCTAATAATAACAATCAACCAATGTTTAATATGATTCAATTGATTGCTAAGAAATGATGTCGCTAGATAATTTCTTCAAAGAAATTATTTTGTATTAAAATAAAAATATTTAAGAAAAAAAGAAACTAAAAATTTTCTTTAATAGAAGAAAAACAAACGTTGAAAATTAATTAACAAAATTGATTTTCGATACTAATTTTCTATTGGTTAATAAAATTTAGGTATAAATTACGCAGCATAGTAGAAAGTATCGGTTCGCTTGGTACAAAAATAAAAGAAAAATGGATAAAAATGATACGGAACAAGTAACATCATCAACAATTGCTGAATCTCCCTCAACTAATGTTGAAAGTAATCAACAACGAAATGATTCAATGGGCGATTGTGGATTTTTTTATGCTGGAAGGTACGTTCTTTTTTTCTTTCTTTCTTTCTTTCTTTCTCTTGAAATGTTTTCTTTTTATTTTTAATTGGATTTTTATTTAGTTTGTCAGCTGAAGTAGTACGTCGTGTAAATGCACTTCGAAATCTTCAAGTTGAACATCATAAAATTGAAGCCAATTTTTTTGAAGAAGTTCATGCACTTGAATGTCGCTATTTAAGCAAATATCAACAACTTTTCGATAAAGTATTTTCATGATATTCATTTCTATAAATTAAATTTTGATTTTTTGTTTATTTAGCGTTTGAATATTGTTAAAGGTACTTATGAACCAACAGAAGCTGAAGTTAAATGTGCATTTGATGGAGATGAAGTATGTAGTATGATTTACTTTATTGTTTTTTTTTTTTGGATAAAAATTTTTCATATTTTTTATAGAATAAAGAACAAACACCAAAACCAGCTGACGAAACAAAAAAAGATGAAGGTCAGTTTTTCTATATGCAGGCAATATCTACATTACTTTATATTTATATCAACACTTGCAAATACAACAGAAAAAAAGAATGTTGACATGTTATTGTATAATGATATGACCTTGGAAAAAAAGTACTTTTAACTAGAATAATAGAAGGTTTACTAATATTTTAGAAGAATTCATATCATATAAAATTTAAAGATAAAATCTGTCAAAAACAAAAAATTTTATTACAGTAACTATTTTACATCCTGTCTATCACCATCTCGATATAATCGATTGTTTTTTTTTTAATTTTCATCAGCATCAATGAATGGGGAATGAGGAAATCATCCGAAGTAATTCATCATTTTTGGGTTCATATTTCTTTCAAAGAAGATATCTAGACTAGAATAATCCTATAAAGGTCAAAGTCTAAAGATCTTTGTTATTAGAGTTATTTAGAAAAATCGGAAGTTTTTCATGAAAGTATGAGACTTAGAGATAAAATTTCTGATCGAAAAAGTTTTACGTTTTTTTTCTGACAATAACCAATTCTTCTGACAGATAATAAAACATTTTCATGTTTTCTATTTTTAGAAAAAAAAGTCGGCATTCCAGAATTCTGGTTACATGTATTAAAAAATTCCGATGTAATTTCAGAATTAATCAAAGTAAAACAAAATTAAAATTGATATATGATTCATAAAAAAATTTTCATATACTTAAAATAATATTCTAGGAACCAGATGAACAAGTTCTTAAACATCTTATTGATATACGTATAATAATGAAAAATGACTCTCAAAATAAAGTTTTCACTATTGAATTTGAATTTACACCAAATGAATATTTTACAAATACAATATTAACAAAAACATATGAACTTCGTACAGGACTTGATGAACAAGAACCATTATCATATGAAGGACCAGAAATAACTAAATCTAAGGGTTGTGAAATTCAATGGAATATAGGAAAAAATGTTACAATTAAAACTGTTAAAAAAAAACAAAAACATAAAAATCGTGGAACAATTCGTGTTGTTACAAAAGAAGTAGAAGCAGATTCATTTTTTAATTTTTTTTCACCACCCGATGGTATATTTTAATTAAAATGTTATTCATAGAGAAAACAAAAATCTTTTTTTTTTTTTTTTTAGTGCCAGAAGATCTTGACGCTGATTTTGAAGATAGTGATGAAATGAGAATGTTAGCAGCTGATTTTGAAATAGGTCATTTATTTAGAGATTCAATTGTACCAAAAGCCGTACTTTATTTTACTGGTGAAGTTGGTGAAGAAGATGATGAACATGTAAAAAAGAATTTTAATTATTAGAAAAATATTTTTTTTTTGTGTTTTTTTTTTCTTAAGTATGATGAAGATGAAGATGAAGATGATGATGACGATGATGATGATGATGATGATGACGATGATGATCAAGATGAACATAAACGAAATACTCACGGTAGTCATCATCATGCTAGTGGTGGTAAACATGGTTCTGGTGGTGTTCGTATTCATTAAATAATTCAAAATTTGACGATATCTTTTTTTAAATTTAAATAGAAAACTCGAGGAAGAAAACAACCTGGTGCCGGTAATAGTGGTCAACAACCCGAATGTAAACAACAGTAGAACAAAGAAAAAAAAAGTGCGCATGTTTTTCTTTTTACAGATGCTATTTTTTTTTCTTTGTTCTTTTTTTGTTTTTTTTTTCAAAGGTTTATTTATTGTTGTTATATCTTGAAAGGAAAATTCTTTTTTTTTTTTGTTTTTGTTTCAACTAATTGGATAAAATGGTTGAGAAAAAGAAAATATAAGATAGATAAGAAAAGAAGAAAGAATTTTTAAGTGTATTTCTTTATTCGTTATCAGTAGAAGTTTGTTACCTTTCTTTAAGTATAAGAGCACAAGCGTAGATATGGTAATGTGATAGAAGGAGAGAAAAACAAATTCTACAAGATTTTTCCTACTAAAATTCATTGAAGTTAATCTTACGATAAGAAGCATATCGATAATATATACGCTGCAGCTATACAACCAGTCAGTTTCAGATAAAGACAGTACACTGAAAAAAAATGATCCAAAACAACTTGAAAATGGTTTTGTAGATGCATGATAAGTCTTTTTCCAAGGATTAAATTGGTTTCAATTCTCGAAACTTTTTTTTAGTATAAGACCGACAAACTTCGAATCCAAGTCCGAATCTTACTGTTAATACTCCCAATAAGAGCTTTTAATTTGCACTTGATAGTCGCTCCGAAGGTATGAGATACTTTTTGTGATTATTTCTATTCGACGACTAACATACTCTACAGATTTTTCCGGTAATATTGATTGTGCAAGTTATAATTTTGACTCTAGAGTACACTTAATGGACTCTAGTCCAAGATCCATCTTTTGATAGTCTCATTTGACGTAATCAACATCCAAAAAGAACTCTCATTACATAAGTTTATTTAATAAAAATCGAAAAATAAATAAGTTACACTAATGATCCACCGGTTCTATATCTGATCACAAATCACAGAGATTACACTCCACGATCATTAACAAGCAAACTTTTGAATTTTGTACGATGCTTAAAATGATTTCACAGTAAATTATATACTATGTGTTTTACATTGTGTTTAAACTGAGAGCTTTTTTCAATAGTTTATCGATTGTAATTAGATGATACTCACGAGTCATATGAATGTTTGATCGGTCATATATGAGATAATTTCTTTTGCCATTTGAACTAATCGATGTATATGCAAAGCAGTTACATTATAAAGAAAGAACTACGTAAGTCGAGAGGAAAAAAACTAATATTGACTATTTAAGTATGGCTATTATTATATTATTGTTCACTCGATTTGCTTTAAGCGATTGTCGTTCTGAATGTGTTTGCCTTATTCTTATTGAATGATTGATAAAATTGATTCTATAGTTTACGACTGATTTTTACAAGAACTAGAACAATTCAAATAGACTTGTTGAAACGAATTTGAAGTTTTTTTTTTTATATTCTATTTGTACAATTGACATCATATATATATATTAATATGATAAAAAAAAAATCAATTAGTCCTCGTCATTATTATCATTTTCTTTAATAACTTCAACACAAACAGGATTTCGTTTATATATTTTAATTTCTTGTATAGAATCATAATTAGATTGTTGTTGTTGTCGTTGTTGTTCTTCAGGTTCTTGAATATTTTCTACTTCAAAATCAAATAATGCATCAAGTGGAGTTGTTGGTGGATCTTTTGGTGCTGGTTTTTGTAATGTACGAGCTAAATGAAGCCATACATCAACTTTTTCCCAACGATTATTATGATTTACAATATTTTTTTGTTGACTTGGAATGTATGATGATCGAATAGGTACACTACGTTTACTTGATGATGATGATGATATACCTCGATTTATTGATGGTAAACTAACTCGATTTGATGATATTGTTGTTGTACTAGCTTCAAAATCACTACTATTATCAGTAGTTATGGATGAATGTAATTTTGCATTTGTACGTGTTATTAATGGCAATGATGATGAAAGAATTGCAAGACCACGATATGGTTTATGGGGACGTGGTGAATTTCTTTTTTCTAAATTTGCTTGATTATGTTGTTCAATATGAAGTAAATTATTATTAATTATTTTTGTTGATTGTTGTTTTGCATTTGTATTTATAGTTAATGGATGAAGATAAAGACGACGTGTTAAAATTTGTGCTGTACTACGTGATGATGTATGACGAAGATCATTTATTGTTTGACATAATTCAAGTAATGTTAATGATTTTGGTTTTATTGGTTGTGATGTTGTAGTTGACGTCATACGTAACTAGAATATAAAGATATAAAAATTAGTCTTACTTTTTAAATTCTTTTATCAAATATAAGAACAAATAAAATATTCTAATAAACACTGACATCATCTATTATTTCTTGTATTGTACATCGGGTTCGTTTTTGCATTTTCATTCAACTAAATCTCAAAATAATTTTTCTTCTCTTTTTTTTTCTTTCATTAAAATATCTTTATACATTGTATTACACAGGAAAAAAACCTAATTAAATCAAAATACATGGGTATGTCTTCTTATTTTTTGTAACATGATCGTCATATGTAATGTCAGAAGAAACAGCAATAACATACTTTATTGATTATTTGCCGACAATAAAACAAAGTGAAAGAAAATATTTTTCAAGTGTTTAAAAGAAAACATGACATATGAACAAAATACGACTGAAATTAAATTTTTTTTGTCAAATGATGTCGCTTGAGTATAAACCTACTAACAAAAAAACTATTCTTTATCGATTGGTTGTTTATATAGGTTTTCTTTTCTTTTTTTTTTTATTAAATTCAAAAATATATATATATTTATTTACATAGATTAAAAATGTCTAAATCACGATCAAAAATAAAACGATCGATAATAACATCTTCTACAACTCTTGTTAGTATATCTGATGAACATGAATTATCTATATGTTGTTCAAATCGTAATTGTCCATCACATTGGCATAGTCGTTTAACTGAAAAACTTAAACATCTTCAACAATCGAAATTAAAAAATTCTTGTTCAAAACCTCCTGAAATTGAATCTAAACATCATTATAAATTATCTTATCCAGATATATTATCAAAATTATTTCAAATTAATGAATTAGATGATAATAATCATGAAATATATTCAAAACCAATTGATAAATCAATCATACTTAATAAACATGATTTATTTATTAATCAAATATCTAAAACATTTGATAATTTAGCACATATTTTTATTAAAAATAATCTTAATTTACAAATGAAATATCGAATGATTCCATTAATTTCTGATCCATTTTCTGATCAGGTTTAAAAACAAAAATTAATTAATTTTAATTCTTTATTTTTTTTTATATTAGATGGATCGTATGGAAGCTTCAACACAATTAAAAATTAATCTTCTTCGTATAAATCATATACATTTAAATTGTCGTTTAACTGTAAAAATTATTTCAACACCAATATGGAATCGTTCAGCTGTACATGTTATTGTACAAGATGAAAATATGGATTGTCTTCGTTTATCAATTTATAATTGGTCATATATTATTGATACAAGACAAATTAAATCATATAAATATATTCAAAAACGTTTAACATATTTATTACCAATGAATTCATCTATTATTTTATTAGATCCATGGTTAAAAAAATGTCATGATGATGATATTTCATTACGTTGTGAATCACCTAATACACATTTATTAATGATTGATTTTGAAAAACATTGTTCAACAAGTAATAAAATAAATGTTGAACAATTAAGACAATTAGGAAATGAATGTTATCAAATGGATGATAGTCTTAGTGCTATTGAATTTTATACATTTGCATTAAAACAACTTGATGAACAACAAGAAAAAGAATTAACATTAAAAGGACAATCAAGTATGTAGAAAGATTTATTTAAGTAATCAGAATATGAATAGATAATTGATCTTGGAATTGTAATCGATTGAGAATTTTTCAACTGATCCAGCTCGGCAAATCTAAATTTCAGATCTCTGTTGACTAAGATCGTCTTTCTCATTTATCTTTTAATAAGTTAATTGTCATTAAAATAAATAATTATGATGGTAAACATACAGGATGTTGAACATATTCGAATTCACCGACAAACTAATAATTCTAAAATATGAGCTGTTTATGATATGCACTGGACGATTTTTAAAGTATTTACAGTATATATTATGTGTTACATTATAGAAAATTTTAGTAGGATTGTTTTCATCATGGTTGGATGGAGCTCGTCGAGGCACATAAGTAAAAGTATGTTTTCAAAAATAGATAAAAGAAATTTTATGAAAAGAAGAATTTTTCTTTATATTTGAAATATACTTATTCTTATGTACTTCGATGAGCTCTATTCAATCATGACAAAAATAGAAAAACAATCTTACTGAAATTTTCTATTATGAAACACATGACCTGTACTGTAAATACTTTAAAATTTGCATATTTTAGTTCGTGCAAGTTATAAGTAACTTATATTTTTAATTTGTTTGCGTACTGATGAGATTTTTCATTTGATCTGGATATGTTCAATATCCTTGAATTATAATACACACCCTTCCATTATACGATTCATAAGAATAATGTTTCAATTTAGAAAGTTTTTGAGGTTCTTTGTGTTAGTATTCTCAAGGAAATGTAAGCAAATCCGAAGTACAACCATGAGCAACTCCATTTGCTATTAATTGTAATTCATGTCCTATCATAGATAGATAAAATTCAGAATAAACCTTTCCGTTTTTTTAAGAAACCGAATTTTTTTGTGTTAACGAACAATCATCAAGAAAATTCGTTTTTGATATACTGTATTCTAGAGAATTGCGAGTTTTTTAATTAGTTAATATAGTATCTGCTCATTCGGATGAAGAGAAGGAGTTTCCTAATGAGGTCCCAACAATTACTTTTGTTGTTCATAGTAATATGAATGCTGCTGAATTTCCTCGTACCGTTCTTATTGAACATTAGCTTTTATCTGTTTTATTTTTATAATGTACTTATTAAAATAAATTATATATTAAAAAGCTGAAAACCTTGAAATAGACTTCTTCTGACTTGTCATTCATGAAACACATATTCTATTTATTTCTAAAGGATATTCAGAATCAAGGACCCAACACTCAGATCTCATAAAGTCTCATCAACAAAGCTATCGATTTACATTTCGACTTTAATAAAGCGTTGATAATAGGAGATATTCAAATAAATACTGCTTGATTATCGCAATTCGGTACAATTCTATTTTTGATATCCGATGTGAAAATTTAGCTAAAGAATTTTTTGAAATACGATCTAAAAGTAGTGTTAATGCATAACAGTAGAAAATTGACCCTTCCTCCATACACAAATATGACTGATACATTAGCAACAATTCATCACATACTGTGACATCTTCGTACTATCGTTCACTCCTCACACACCCTGATAGATATACTCGCAAGTAGAGTCCATCCGGTCCAAGAATTTTTGAATCCGGATCCGGCCGATCAAAAGTTTTAGATTCGAAAATGATTGATTATTCTTTTGTGGAAAGAGTCCATTGGACTCAAAGATTTCTGGACTCGGACTCGATGGGCTTTACTCGAGAAACCAAAGTCTACTATAGGATGAATATTTAGAAGTTCTTTGCCCTTCTTTCACAATCATTGTACTAAATCATTGCCGTGCATTAACAGTATATAGTAATTCACAAATCAAAATCTATGTTAGTGAATTCTCTCTTTTACAATGTCAACAGTTCCATCAATTTTTACATTTTAATCGTGTAGGAATTATGTTAAAAAATTTTGTACTATATATATATTACTGATTGTAAGTATTATTAATTTGTATTGTTTAGTGGGTCCAAAAACTGAAGAACGTGAACAACATCGTATTCGTCTATTATCTAATCGATGTGCTTGCTATTTACGTGAACGTCATCCTGCTCTAGCATTAGCTGATACTGGTATTCTTCTTTCATTGCATGAATTATCTCATTTTCTTGAATCACCAACAGCAACAGCAGGAAAACTTCTATTTCGTTGTTTAAATGCTCATCTTTATTTAGGTTTATATGATAAAGTTGAAAGTTTATTAAAATCTCATAAAATTGGTGTTGGTTTATGTGGAGGAGAAAATCCAGTAACAATGACTACACTTGAAAATGAATTAATAAGATTAAAAGATGAAGCTACAAAAGGTCAATATGATCTTCAAGGAATGTTATATGAACAAATTAATAATAAATCACAAATGTTTATTGATTTATCTCATCATCATGCTAAATATCATAGAAATGATCTATTCGAAATTCGACTTTGTCAAGTAAATGATTAAAAAATTTATATAAAAAAAAAACAAAAATAACTAAATAAAAAGGTTATTTACTCTACTTTATAGACAGACGAATTAAATAAAAATCAATATCGAAATGGTTCTTATGGTGTATATGCATTAAAAGATCTTGAACCAGGAACATTATTAATTGTTGAACAACCATTTGCTAGTATTGATAATCGTATTATTAATGAAGAATATTATCATTCAATAAATTATTGGCAAATAAAATCTAAAACTGAATATTGTACAAATGATACATTACGTTTATTAAATGAAATTGAAAAACAATTATTTATTGGTAGTGCTACATGGGCAACATTTGATAAAATTAAATTAATGCAACCTATTCGACAATGGTTAACTAAAAATATTGTTAAAAATCTTGATGAACAACAAGAAGATCATGATATACTTTCAGATTTATTAGAAAATTATGAAAATATTTTAGCAGAAAAAAAACAATGGAGAAAACCACTTTTAAAGTAGGAATTTAAGAAAAGAAACATCTGTATATCGTAGATAACATAGACCTTAGTATTGAACACAGTAGCATAAAGACATGCATCGAATCCGATTCGATGTTCTGTACGAAAAAAAATAGCCTTTTCTTTCTGGTCATGTTGAAATTTAATATACGTAGGATTCTGCTGGAATAGAAAAGAAGCCGTTCTGATTTTCATATGTATTAATATATGTACTATAAAAAAAATGTCAGGGCGTGAAATGCTGCTAGTCTCATTTCGTTAAGTGAAGAAAACAGAAACTAAAGAGAGTTGTGTTCTCATAATTTCATTTAAAACATGATTAATGAGAATATTGAACAAGTTTATTCAAAAGAAGTACAAAAAGCATATTAGATAGATCAGTAATTTGTCGGTGTCAATATTATTTTTTGCAAATACTACTTTGAGATGCACCAAATCCTATTCTTAGATTTGATTGGAGATGCAATCAGTGCATTCCTAATATAAACTGATTTCGAATATGATAGAAAAGATCAGTAAATACTTCTTAAGAGGAAATCTTCGCATTTGAGATCGAATTTTGTATACATGTAAAAGGTATATAGACTGTAAAAAACTTAGTAAGATTACGTATCAACGTATTACTATCATGTTCTTGCAACATCATACTATTCTAGTTAAGTCCTAATTTTGATTTTTGACTTGAGATTACTCATATCAATATCTGAATCAAACTAGCTTGTTTAGAAAGTTTCGAGTGAGAATTCAAATGTTTGAATTTACGAGGAAAATCTGACGCTATAAAAAGTCAATATGTCAGCCAAATTGTAACTTACATTCGCATGCTCTAAGATTTTTTTCTGCACTTCATGTTTCTTATTTATCAGAAAAATCTGACGAAGGAAGTCCTTCAACTGTTCAATCACTTTTGAGTCAAGACTATATGTATTATGTAGATCGAAATAAATTATGAATACTCTGAAAAGAGTTCATACCCTTAGCCTCTTGCTATAGAAATACCGCATTTGTACGATATTTTTTAAATAAATACCATAGTTCTTCTTAGGAACACCAGAAAAACTGATTTTCGAGTTTTGTCTCGAAACTTTGCATAGAGACAGACATTAACGAAGAGTAATTTCAGGTTCTTTGATTTCTTTCTATCTTGAAATAAGAACATCAAATCTGCTAGTTTACATAAATGATGATGCAAAAGACATGCTATTACCATAACTATATCTTAGGATAGGAACAACGACAAGATCTAAAACATTCACAAAAAATTATTCTCGTTAAGGTCTGTCTTTATGCAAAGTTTCAAGTTGAAATGTGAAAATCAGTTTTCCTTGCGTTCATGAGAGGAATCACAGCATTTATTTAAAAAATAGGTAGCAATAATTTAAGAGCCATTTAAAGTTCAAATTAAAATTTATCTATTACATTCAGTATATTTCTATGATCATATAATTTACATTACATTTTTTTTAGACAATCATCACCTCCATCTCCATATATTCCTTGGCGAGTTTTATTCGAAACTCAACAACAAAATCCATATAAATCTCGATCAGCTTATGGTTGGTATCCATCTAGTTCAATGTTTAATCATTCTTGTTTACCTAATTGTTTATGGTATTTAATTGGTGATTATTTATTTATATATGTATGTTCATCAAATGTTCGACAAGGTGATGAATTAACAATATCTTATTGTCCATTATGGATATCATCAATAAATGAACGTACAAATCAACTTCGTCAATATGGTATTAAATCATGTCAATGTTTATTATGTTTATATGATCGATCATCATCGTTAATAGATGAATATGAAAATGAATTAAAAAAATTTTCTAATATACGTGCATTAGCACGACAAAAAAATATTTCAAATATAAATCGTTTGAATTATTTAAAACAATTACAGTGTCATTATGAAATTTTAACAAAAAAATTTCAAGATCGTCCAATTGGTTTTATTAATGAATTTATTGATTGTGAATATATTTTATCTAATATTCAATATGAAAATAATGATAATGATATAAAAGATTATTTAAATAATCAACAAAATTCATTTCTTGAACGTTTATCAAATGTTTGTCGTTTTACATTACCTGATATATCAAATCCAATTTTATTATTTGGAACACAAATACAAGTAAATTTATTAATCATATTTATTTTAGAAAGAAAAAAGATTGTTTTTTTTTGTCTCTAGTTACTTATTAATCATATTGAACAGTTTTATACATCTGATTTAAAACAATGGAGTCGTTTATTTGAATATCTTTATGAAATTTATACATTTAAATGTTATTCATCATCGAATGATATACAAAAAATTTTACAAGATCAGAAACAATTATTTAATTATTTTTTTCAAACACAAACTTTCCTTCAACATCCATTTATAATTAATGAAAAGAACTCAAATTAACTTTTTTAAATGTCCATTTGCTTGTCCGATATATATAGATGTTTACTTTTTGTTTTTGTTTAAGTCTTTCATTTGATATTAATACACAAGATGATATATCTATTCAGTGATATATATGAAAGAGTAGAAGAAAGAAAATATAGTTGATAGTATCCTGTGATATGATTTCGTATTGAGAGATCGAAGAAAACTTAATATTAGAATCTTTGATCTGATTTAAGGGCGTATGGACACAACTTCAAGACTAGAATGAATCAAAAAGAAAACGAATCCATGTACCTTCGCTAGAGAATAGAAATGCATTAATGTCTAATTTTTCAAACTAAAGAATACATAACAGGTGATTCGAAAGTTTTGAGACAAAATATTCGTTGATTTTTGGTCCGCTTGAAAGTGTTTTCGACGAGTCAAAATCTGTGGGTTATGACCAGAATTTTGTGTTCTTTCCGAATATGGACTTAGAAACTTTGTCTCAGTTTTTGTATGAGAGTAGTGCGATAATCTTTGAAAAGTCCAAAAAATTAGTTTGGACGGAAAATTTTTCTGCTCACTTTTATATCTTCGCGATTGTAATTCGAAACTAAAAGTTAGAACCTTTATGAATATATCAGCTTGTAGAGCAGATGATAGTCTACAAAATGTACTAGTTGATGTTCTTTTTGTCTTTTGATAAGACACTTCAATTTTCATTTTTCCTTAAACCCTCATTTTGGAAAAAATCGATTTTTTGACCAAAAACTGCTTTACTTAGAAAGGAGCTCTTGACAAAATGCCTATAAGTTCACTTGACTAAAAGCGACAGTTTAGTTCAATATCACATTTTGTAAACAAGTTTCCGTTCTATAAAACGACCAACTTCGACAAATCTTAGCATCTTCGAAAAGGAACTTATAGGGGTCAGCAAAAACCTCTTATTGCATCATTCAAGCTAATTTTTAGATCTTTCGAAGATGATCTCACTACTCTCGAAAAAAAACTGAGACAAATTTTCTAAGTCCATATTCGGAAAGAGCACAAAATTCCGATCATAACCTAGAGATTTTGACTCGTAAAGAAACTAAAACTGAACAAACATTTTGTCTCAAAACTTTTGACTCACTCGTTATTTGTGGCACTTGAAACCATTAATGCAGACCGAGTTTTTAAGTAAGATTTTGTTAGTTTTAATCGCTCTATATGACATTATTGCCGTGTTTGATGAGTTACTATTAAAAAGTATAACAATTGACAAAAAATCTTGAATTTTCGACCAGTTCCTGCCTACTTTTAAGCATTTTCACCGTATTTCATTAAGTGCTAGAATAGCTTCAGATTGAGCGATCACAACTGACTAAGTCTCACTCGAAAACTTAGCCGGTATTTACCGAAAATATTTGTTCTTTAATGTGAAAAATCAAGAATCGATACATCTTTACTACAGAATTATAATAGTTTTGCTAGAATTTTATCACAAGTACGTGATATTGTCAGGAAATTCAAGAGAGAACTTTTGGATCTGAAATTTTGTCTATGAGTAAGATTCATGATTCGATGAATATCTGACATTAATCTTGCAATAGTCTAGCTATGGAAACTACCTTAATATTTGATGATTAACTTCAGTTGTCTTATTAAACAAACCTTAATTCTATTCTTTGATATATATAATTTTTATCTTATTTTAATCTGTAAACAAATATTCAAATGAAATTGAACAATTAAACTGAAGACAATAATAACTAGTCTTTAAACGTTTTCAATTATTTATTGATACTTTCTTTACGACTTGTTGTATTTTTCCTGAAATCTATCAATGAAATAAAAATGAATTAAACAGTAAATTATCTTCAATAATTGAAAATAAGTAAATATCTAGTGCCTAATTTTCTCGACATGTCGACATGTAAATTTACATATCTGTTTGTTGTAAAACCACATTTTGGCCTTTTTATAGTAAAACCTCATTTTGCCTCTTTCACTGTATAATACTCTTCAATATCCTTATTCGCACTCTCCTGATTTATTATTGTAAAACTACACGCACTTGGTTAAAAATATTATAAAATACTGTCTTATTACATACTTATTTTACTGGTATTACCATCTTAATATATCCACTGTAAAATATTTCTTTTATATTGCTATCTTACTATATATATACTCACTCTTATTTATTCTGAAACATTTCTTTGATATCACTATCTTAGTATATTTATTGCTGCGTTTATTCTAAAACATCTCTTTGACATCTACATCTCTCCAAAAAATCGTTATAAAAATGTTTCCTCGTCTCAACTTACATCGATATTATCAAAAAATATTCAGCAATACATTAAATTACATTGAGCCACATTATGAAAGATTACAACAATATGACGAGAAAAACATCAAAAAAACATATTAAAATGTGTTAGAACACATTATTAAAAAATGCATTAAAATACATTATGAAAAACCACATTACAACGCATTACGAACAACTATCACAAATGCATTACATTGCATTAAAAACAAACCAACATCAAACCAATACCAATAATCTGACTTGTTACTCCCGCAGTGTCGAGTTATTTTCCCTACAACTATATAAAGTATACCTCATTGTTCCTGCAACATCCACCCATTTTCACAGCATCCAATAACTTATTTCCTACAACTATATTCAATTGCTCCCATATATAGAAACTACATAAAAAATCGCTTGAAAAAGACAATTCGAAAGGCCTCGCGTTATTCATATTAATATTCTTCTTACTATTACTCTTCCTTTTGTCTTTTTTTCTCCTTCTTCTCTTATTATTTTTCTATTATATTACAAATAATAAAAGTATTAAAAAATAAATAAATAAAAAATAAAAGACAAAAGAATCATTATATTGTTATTTATTTTTGTTCGTTATTATTCTCATTTATTATTATATATATATATATAAATAACACAATTGTGATGACTTGTCAAAATAGAAAGAAATAGCTAAATATGAAAACATTAACTAGTCGAGAAAGTATAACCTATGGAAAAATGGCCAGCACCTTCAAACATATCTCATAAATAATAGGAAATAGATGACTTTAATCAAAAGGGCTTCATTTTTCTAATGGGAAGAAATTGTGAAATCTCCTACGTGGTAGAGCTTCATGTGCTCCATCACCGGTAGAAATATCAGAGCAATTGATGGTTGGCGCATAAAATGCGATTGACCAACATTTTGATAACAAAACAGAAAAAAGGACAAAGCAGACTTATTTAATGGTATTTCAGAAGTTCTTATAGGATTGACGAAAATTCCTGAAATTTTGTGTGCAGAAGGACAATACCTTAATAGTTATAATTAGAAAAATAAGAGGTCGAAAGTCTCAAAAATTGAAATGCAAAAGTCAGTTTTACTAAGAAAACCACCTGAAAATTGATAAAAAAATCACTAATAAAAGTTATCAAAAATTTCGTTAGTATTTTGATTATGTGTATAGGAAAAAGAGATCAAATTTAGCTGGAAATTTTAGGGAATACTAAACTCACTACCGTGTAAGACATAAAAAATCAGCGAATCTTGAAATGTCACTCCATCGTCGAAGTGTGAGTCTCGTAGAAACTCACTCTTAAATATTTTTTTAAAGTATCCACCACAACTGTTCTGTGAGTGTCTGCAATAGTCTTCCGTTCACCCATACTCGAGCACTGTCGCGTTTTCGTTTTTCTTCTTTTTATTTGATTCAGTTTTTTTGGACGTTCTGGTGTGGGTGTGGGTGTGGGTGGGTGTGGGTGTGGGTGTAGGTGGGTGTGGGTATGTGTGTGGGTGTGGG